GCCCGTGGGCGCCGGCCGGCTTTTCTCTGACCCCTTTTACAGCCTCTCCCACGGCAAGGGAAACCGTAAGATGCGCTGGTTTACGGTAAACTCTAAAAATATAAGCCGCATCTAAACACTGTAGCGTGTGGTAGAAGCGTTAGTCGTCTTCAGGGGTGTTTTGAATGTGGCTTTTTAATCGTTGCAGAAATAGTGGAGTTTCAAAAAATAGTGGGTAGCCTGATTGAACTCGTCGATCAGCTGGCAAAAGCTGCAGAAAGGGAGAAGATGAAGGTACTGTGCAATAATTACCAGCTTGCTGTGTACTGTGACCTGTACCACGCGTGAAAAACCCAACCTCTCCCTTCCCCCTTCTGCAGCATAAGCAACCCTTTTCTGTCAGCCTCGTCCATGGTAGTTAACATCTGTCTGTCCGCGAGAGAAAAGCGTGGGGCTTTTTGATTGATATTAGCATCTAGAAGACTTTATAGGCACACTCAGAGTGTCACATCGCTCCTGCATTCAACAGTCCTGCTGTTGCTGCTTATCTCTGTATTTGCATGTAAATAGAACACGTATTTTTTAATTGCTCCTCCTACTAGTAGAGCTTTGTCCTCAGGAGGCAGAGAGGCTCTGTGAGGAGGAGGAGGAGGAGGAGGAGGGCTTTCAAAAGACCAGATCAGTGAATAGCTCTGTAACTACCTTTGAAATTTTCTGTATGTATTTCTGTGTGACACCAAGTGGTGTGGGTTTTTTACATGTTATGGTGGAAATAGAAACTACTGTTTAGTGCAGTTGTACAGGTAATTGCTTTTTTCCTTGTTTGTTCTGGGGAAAAAAGTATAACCAGAGCTTGTCTGTCTGTAGGACCAGTCAGCAGCGATCAGTTTGTATTTCCAGAGGAGTCAGTGACTTTGTTCCTTGAGGTTGAAGGAAGCCTCAAATGCCTTAATCTGCCCAGCCTCTACGGGACGGTGTGCCTGTTCCACCAACCATTCGGTATCCAGGTGTCACCCTCCTTCAGTGTTAGCGTGGCCAAAACACTTCAAAGTCAACCTGCTAGTAGTGAAAGGGGTTAAAAAAAGATAAAAAACCCCAATCCAACTACATCACTGACCATCCTGTTTTGACAGGCCATCGGTGCACGAAATTTGCTGAAGTCTATAGCAAAGCAAAGGGAAGCTCAGGAACAGCAACTTCAGGCTTTAATAGCTGAGAAAAAGATGCAGCTGGAAAGGTACGTTTTCTGTTGAATACTTTTGGGGCATTATGTAGGCCGGAAAGTCAACCTCGCCATCCGTGCTTGGCTGCGGGACACCGCCTAAGCTTGTTCGAACAGTCCACCGCAGCGAAGGCGTCTCCTCCGGCGCAAAGCGCGGGCGGAACCGCGCGGAGCCACGAGCCTGGAGCTGACGTGAGGCCCCGTCTGCCGCTCATCAAGAGGGTTCATCTCCGATGACTCTGTGGCTCAACAAAGAGGCGGCACGAGATCATGCAGCTGAAGAAACGAACAAAACTGTGATACAGTGCCACGTGTCCGTGTCCTCCTTGCAAAGGCACTTTCGAACTGCAAGGTCTAACTGGTGCAGCCGCTGCTCTGCAGATGACTTACACACGTGGCCCAACTTTCCTTCACCACGGACCAGCGAACGTTGTACTAAACCATCTAACGCGGGCTGGGCGCAGCTGGTAACCATTTGTGTTTTTTTCTTTCAGATACCGAATAGAGTATGAGACTCTCTGTAAAATCGAAGCAGACCAGAACGAATTCATTGACCAATTCATTTTTCAGAAATAGAGGATTTTAAGATAAAACCAAACTAACTTGGAAACTTGACCATTCCAGAATCTTGAGAATTCCAAAAATATGCAATTTTTTCACTGTGTATGAATGAAGAGATGGTTTGTACAAATGAAAGTGTCTTTTAATTCGGTGTGAATTACACTAAAAGTGGCAATAAGCAGGGCTTGCTAGCAGATGTAATGACTGTTCTGTCCTTTGATTTTATAAAAATTTTGTACAGTCAGTAGTTCCAATTCAAATTATAATTGAATTAATACTACTGTTGCTATGTCTCTCACTTTTTGAAGTGTACAGCTCTTTCAAAGAAATTGGGAAATAAATTATTGTTTTCAGACTTTCTGGATATACCAGAATTAGTTGCTTCTGCTATGTTATTTTTGAGCTTAAGAGTTTACAACTCCCTGGCTAGTCATAACGATTTTCCTCTGTGTAGTATTTTCCATGTCTGTAGACACACAGAGCACACAATCAGCAGTAACTTCTATCTATAGTGACCAGATTTTTTTTTTTTTCTGTAGAGTTAGGGAAAAAAACCCAGAAATTTATGATTACCAGAACGGATGAATTAGAGACACAAAAAAAGGCAGAAAAGACGGCAGAATTAAGAACTTTAAACTATGCCTGAGGTACGTCCATACAGGTATTAATATTAGAGTAGAATTCTTTCATGGGCATTATTAACGATAGAACCACGAACGGATGCGCCAAACCGTTCCAAGGGTGGAGTGACACCAGGAGCATATATAAATGATAAATACAAATGTGACATTTAAAAACTGAATGCCTGTGATCTGAAATCAAGTGTCATGTTGGAAGTGCAAATAGATGCATTTTTATGTCTGTCTTTCTTTAGGCAAGCAAATATGGAAATGCTGGCCTTTTCAAAGCCTGTGGAAGGTTTAAATTTTAATACCAGTGAAGTCCTGAAGTATATAGGCAGTGACTGAAAAGCCTTCTCAGTGACCTGTAGTTTTTACACAAGTCTCCAAGTTTGATTCTTGCAGATCAGATTGAGAACTTAAAAAAAAGAAAAAAAAGAAACAAAACCCAAAAAAACCCAAACTGACCAGCCCGGAATTTCTATCAGCAGTAGGTTTTATTTACTGTAACATACGCATATATTTACCATGTGAACTATATATGAGCTCACGGTCATTTTAAGTTCCTTTTAGTTATTCCCTTAAGAAGATTAAAGGCAGTTTAATGTGTTTAGTTACTAGAAGTGATCTCGTGGAAGAGAGAAATTTACAGATCCTTGTTTACAATTCCTGAGGTACTTGACAATCCTCTAGGAAGTATGCCTGTCAAACAAAGCTCACTTTAAACATTCAGGAATCCAGATTTTGGCACATTTATGGCTGATCAGATGTTTACAATTAATCAAAATTGAAGCAGAGCAAAGGAAGGTGAAATTTGAAAGGAAGGGGGCAAGGAAGTTGAAAATTACTACATGATTTGAAGTGTTTCAAAAGCATAGCTTTGCAAATCTGTATATAATCGGTTATGGATTTTGCAGAATACGCTCTTGGAAGACAAATTTCTTAAGTGTTTTTTCTAATGGGCATCTTGGAAAAGGGGAACTTGAACGAACAGCATCAGCTGTAGTTCCCCCCCATCACAGTTACACATCAAGCAGTTATTTATTTTCCTGTGACAGAGTACCGCACAACAGCGGCAGCGGGAGAGGAGCGAGGGCCCTTCACCTGCGTGAGCCCAGAAACCGCGTGGCATTGCTAACGCAGGCCTCTGCCAAAGCCACTTCTGATCACAGGCGAGCTGCAACCTCAAACCCGCTCACGCTCTCCTTGCAGGAGCCAGATGTTTGTCCCAGAGGACTGTGTCAGCACAGGGTCCGAATCAAAACCAGTACGAGCGGTGCGCTTACGACTGTGGTAGCGACTACTTCCTTTTCCTTTTCTCCACATGGTTGTAATGGGGGTTGTAGAGCATGGTAAAAAGAATCAGAAGCGGAATCAGCAAGTACGGCATATATATAGAGAGCAGAATTAGGCGCTCACGTTGTGTCTGGGGTCCCAAATGCTCAGACTTGGAGAAATCGTGGAACAGTATATGCGCAATGATAGCGAACAAAGTTGTGGCTACGTGGGTGGAGTAGATGATTGCAGGAGTCCTTATCCATTTGCAGCCACCTGGATAGAAGCAAAAAGGAAACGGTATTTAAGCATTTTGAAACAAGCAGAGTTCAGTGGCTTTTAAATTAACAGAACCTTACCTGCTGTATTGGACAGGATGGGCCGTAAGTCATATTACATAGGTGGCAGAAAAAAAACATGTACTAGTACCAACCCAGGAAAATCATCTACCTTTATGGAAATTCAGAACAATGGTGTGATTGTGAAAGTTTTAAAGTAACAAAATGAGTACACGGGCTTGACCCAGAACTTCATCTACTGTGGAAGCGCGCCAGATGTCAGACGTCGATGCTGGTTACACATCCCTGGCTGCAGTGGAAAAGGGCCTGGAGTCATGGGTTTCGTTTGACAGGCCGCCTTCTGCGCGGCCTTCTCAGAGCAAAGTTGCCATGAAAACAGCACAGCACTCCACGTGCTACATCCCTGCAATTGCTTAAGACCAATAAACAAACTTTCCCTGCTGTACCGAAAGCGAGTGTTACGCCGAAATGCGGCGCAGGACATACTCTTAGGCTTGTTTCGTACCAACCTTTGAAGAAGGCGTACGCCGCGATGGGGAAGAAAGGCATTTGTAAGAAGGCTTCACAATATATGAACGCCTTAAACCACGCTGGGGGCTGGAGCATCATGGGGTCTCTAAAGGTGGCTGCGTACCACTGTAACAACTCCGTCAGCTTCGGGAAAAGAACAGAACAGCAGATGAATACATTGAGCGTCAACGGCAACGGGAGAAATTGTCACCCTCATCGGGCGGTCAGCCAAAGCGTCACTGCAGCAGGAAGATCAGGTGATCGCATCTTGGTACACGAGGCTTCATCCTGCAGTTAGGTTTTAATAGGGACTACATTTCTGAAGTCTCTAAGGTGATGAACCCTTCCCATTAAGTGTATACTAAATTTGCACTGCAGGCAATTTTCGGATTACTACAGCATTAAGTGCAGCTGCTTTCCAAAAACTGTTTCCGAGATGTCATTTCTTACCAGAAGAAACCCAAACAACAGAAGATCTGCACCTTGACGTTAGTAGATATTGAGGAACTCTTGTATTTTCCTCTTTCTGACCCTCCTACTGCCAGCTGAGGCGGGCTCAAGCCTGCGAGAGCCTTTCGGCCCTTGCGGTGTCTGAGCAGGAGGCGCGACCCCGGCCAGGTCCCACCAAGGCTCGAGGAGTGCAGGAGCGCGCCCCGGGCTCCCCGGGGCCCTGGCTGGCTACTGCTGCGCCGGCAGCTTGACCCAGGAACTCTGGCTTAGCGAGCTGCAATTGGTTTCCGTGACAGAGATGTAAATTCCCGCACGGCTTTAAGGTGGACTTTGAACGGAGAGATAGGTATGAGATTTGCTAGTTAACTATTAATTAAAAATGGCTTCTATAATGGAGTAATTCTACAGGCAATTCTAATGGCAAAAATCAAATTCACTAATTGTCAAGCTCGGTGAGGAAGTTATGGCTGATCTCATCCCCCTGACAAGAACTGAATCGATTGTCTTCTCTCCAACTATTGTTTTAATTGACTTTGTTACGTTTATTTTCTTCTGTAAGTTTATTCAAAACCCAGCAAACCAGAGATTTTTACTAATAAACGTGGTCGCTAGTACGCCTGCATCCGCAGCGGTAACAAACTGCTTTGATGGTTTTGGCAGGAGTACGAGCGAAAAGCGGGATCACGGA